AACTCCCTTCTGCTACAAACACATAGATACTTCAGTTTTTAAAAGACCAGGATAATTGAATAGGTTAAATAGTTAAGCTTGAAGAGAGGAAAAAAGAAGAAGAAAGGTAATCTGCAGATAACAGAACAGAAAGGAAACAAATATCAGAAAAGCAGGCACGTACATTGGCACCACAGCAATCCTAAGTGATACAGAGCTTAGACACGGGCATTAATGCCAAGAGGCTGAAGATGTCATGTGTGTCCAGGGACAAGCAACTTGGTTTGGGGCCCATGAAAGGAAGGTAACTAGAGCCAAGACCTTTGCTTAAAGAAGAACTCTGAAGAAGTTGACCCCTTAGTTTAAGGACTAGAAGACTGGCCGAGGAAGTAGCAAGAAAATTTTTCTTTCCCTGGAGCTCTGGATAGAAGGAAGAGTATTCTTTGGATTAAATCCCTAAACCACCCCCCCCACACACACACAGCTTGAATCTAGATCACCTGCATGGCACAGGAATCTCACACCAGGAAATTAATGTAAAAGCTGATCCTCTGGATGTTCACTAGACTTAATGTGGTGATCATTCTGCAATATATACAAGTATTGAATCGTTATGTTGTATACCTGAATATACAATGTTATATGTCAATTACACTTCAACAAATGTTTTTTTAAAGCTGACCCTGGACCAGCAAAACCCCTGAGCTATTCTACGAAGATAAACACAATATCTCTCCTGGCTGAAGATGAGCTCATAATCCCAGTAACAAACCACATGAGGAAAAAATCCGTTTATAGTGGATATGTGGTTTTAGAAGAACCAGCAGAAGAATTTCAAGTAAGAGAACAATCTGAGGCTATAAAATAGTACAGGTGTAACTATTAAGGAGATAAAGTAAGGACAAAATTCCTAATAAAATGATAGAAAACCTAGGGGAAAAACAGGTAGATATGAAAAGGTATCAATTAGCACTTCTAGAAAAGAAACAATAAATCATAGCTCAGTGAGCTACAACTTAAATAAAAGATAAGGCATAAATATGAAGAATTGGTTAGCTGGAAAACAGTCCCAAAGAATTACCCCAATGACTCTTAAAAATATTTTCTAACTGAAAAAATACATATATACAGAGGTAATAGACATGAGGAATAAAACAAGAAGGTCCAACATATATCTAATAAGAATTACAGAGGAAAGAAAAGAGAGAATTGAGGCAAGATAATATATGAAGAATTACAGAGGAAAGAATAGAGAGAATTGAGGCAAGATAACATATAATGAGACATGCCACAAATGTGTAATAATTCAAGAAATTTAAGAATCACCTGATTAGATCATAGGAAGACCCAAGGAGAAAAAGTTAAAACAAACCCACATCTGGGCATACCATAATAAAACTGCAGAACACCAAAGACAAAGAGGAATCTTAAAAGCAGCCAAGAAACAATCTCTGATTATTAACAACAGAGGCTGGAAGACAATATCTTCAAAGTGGAAAGAAAAATGATTGTCAGGGCACCTGGGTGGCTCAGTCACTAAGTGCCTGCCTTTGGCTCAGGTCATGATCCAGGGTCCTGGGATCAAGCCCTGCATTGAGCCCCATTTTGGGCTCCCTGCTCGGCGGGAAGCCAGCTTCTCCCTCTCACTCTCCCTGCTTGTGTTCTCACTCTCGCTGTGTCTCTCTCTGTCAAATAAATAAATTTTTTAAAATCTTCAAAAAAAAAGAAAAAGAATTGTCAACTTAGAATTCTGCTCCCAAATAATCTATTATTCAAGTGTTAGGATAAAATACGGTTTCAAACAAACAAACAAAATAGATGAAGAGATATTTATCATTTGCATATGCTTGCCAAAGAACTACTTCCATAAGAAGCAATTTTAATCCAGAAGGAAGGAAAGGGATGCAAGAAACTCTAGTGAGCACAGAAAATATGGATACGTTTAAATAAACATTGACTATGAAAACAATCCAACAACAAAAAACTTAATTACATAAAATGACACAGTGCATGTGAAAAATGTGGTGGAACTATTATGCCACAAAATATTATGAAATACAGAGTATGATCAGAATTATAACTTAATAAGGCCCTTATACTATGCAAAAAGTGAGTAGATATTTTGATTCATTTCATCTCAAAATCTGAATGTTAAAAACAAAACATGCCTACTAAAGGAACAGAAATGGGATATATAATGTTGAAATCATTAGATGGAAAAGAGACTAAAGACACTGCAGATCCAATAAAAGGAAAGAATGAGAAAAGGAGGTACAGAAGGACAGCAGATATATAGAAATGTTTCCAATGAGAAGTGGCACTACATTTTAAAAGATAAAAGATTAAAACTGGCAAAATGAATGCGCATGGAGATGTTGTTACAGGCTGGCTTCCCCAAGGAAGCCCACTCAGAGACAAGTTGGGTATACAATTTTATTAAGGACCGCCTTGCTATCAACATCTAAGAATGGGGAAAGAAGCAGAAATGGGAAATGTCAAGCTGCAATGCAAATCCCGTAGGGAGTTCCAGAGCTAGAACGGTCCTTCAGAGTTGTCTGGAGTTGAGCTGAGATGACCAGGCCTTTATACTCCCACATGGATCAGCCACTGGGTGTGAGCTGCCCGGGGAAAAAGACATGACCTTGGACAAAGATGCTTTCTACAACTCAAGCAATCCCCTTTAAGGACCCTTGCAGACTATCTGTTGACAGCACTCTCAGAAGCTGGGGCAACAAGCTCTTCCTTCAAGAGGGATTTGGCACATCAATGTCTGCCATATCACCATAAGGTGACCCCAAAAACCAGTGCTCTAAGAAACCCATATGTCATGTAACCAACAACAACCTCACACCTTCTACAAACTCTGCTCCTCAGATCTTTCTGGAAGGAGCAATGAATTTTTATGCCATAATAATGAAAGGTAAATCCAAATTACTAACCCCTAAATCTTTCTAACTGAAGACTACATCATGTACCTCTTGCTCCCTAACCAAAGTCAGCCAAATAAGATATTAAGAGCAACATGGGACTCTTTATTCCTTCATAATTTTAAATCTTCAGTTTATAAACCAAAATGAAAATGTCATTTCTGTGTCTAATATTTTTATGAAACATGAATCCTTACTTGTGCATACCATCATTATTAAATACCTATCTCCAGACAGGTAAAGGACACCAAGATCAGAAAACTATATATGATTGATTTCTTATTCCTCAAACCAGAACCAATGCTATTCAAAAGAAATTAGCAGGCCCAAGTACCCCCTAGAGAAATTTAAGATAATTCATCTTTGCAAAATATGTCAAATTAGAAATTAAAGCAGATTGAGTGGAAAAAACTATATAAGTAGACAAAATGCAAAATTGTTTAGCTCACAATCATAATAAGGAATATAGAGAGATGATACATATATAGATAGCTTCAATGTGTCAATCATGCCATTACAACAATTCCAGTCTAACAATTTTACTTATTTTTTGTAGTTGGCATGCTGTTGTTTAAAAAGAAAAAGAACAGAAACAGCCAGCAAACATGTTACTAGCCAAGTCCTGTAAGTATTGATTGGAAGAGTTGATCAAACCACTTTGATGCCTAAGACACGTGTTGATAGTAAGGGTTTCTCTGTTGGGATACCAGAAGGTAAATGAAGTGCCCTCAGAAGGAAGTGCAGCTGAATTTTCTTCTACCTGAAGTGAAATCATTTGCCTTATCTATCTTCTTGTCAATTCATGTACAGATATATTCCAGACTCCTACCTATACCTCAGGCCTAGGTAAAAACACTTTGAAGTCCCCAAATTGTTTTTGTTTTTATGAAAATTATTGGCATAACAACCAGCTTTTAGTAAAAGGAAAGAGGGGTACATTGATGATCCACTAAAAAAACCCAGCATCAATACTTTTTCTTTTAATTTAATGTGACTTTTATTCTTACACTGTAGCCCAAGGCTTTCAAATAGCTGGGAATCTCTGAATTTAAAAGATGGATGTATTCAAAGAACAGTTATAGCTCATACAGATCTAAGAAACAGAATGCATAGATTTACCATTGCTGTTTAATAGCACCATGTACATGTGATGTAAACATAATGTAAATGTAATATAATTTTAGGTGAGAGTCTCAAAGTATTTCTTAAAAATTACACCAGGCCTGTGTGTATATTATATATGTATATTACACTATATATAATACATTATATGTTATTTATATACAAATATTTTCACCTTTAAAATGAACCGCAACGTAATTAAGAGCTATTCCTCTGTGCTCTCTTCTTTATACTTGCTTTAAATCTATTGACTACAGTGGGTTTGTATTTTGTTTGAAGTACGGCACATGGGGGGGGGGGGTCTGTGAAAAAGGGCAGGAAGGAAGCAAAAGAGGTACGTGGAAAAGGAGGGATAGCAGGAAGGAAAGGGAGGAGAACCCGAGACACACACACACCTACACACACACGTAGCTCACAAAGGGCCAGGCCTTGAATACATCCCAGCACCCCTCCCCAACCCCTCCCCAAACATGAGACAGGGCTTCCCAAAAGTTCCTGGCAGAGCCTTCCTTGTGCTGTGGCTTAGGTGCGTCCCACTTGGTGCCCCAGACACTGGGACGCACAGGACCTTCCTGGGGACGCAGCCCCAGCAAACTCTTGGTACTTCAGGCTCCCTCCCGCGCCCGCCGCCCGCAGTCAATCACTGGGCACCGCGCGCCAGTCCACCCACTCCTAGGCGAATCCTTCTGCCTCTCTCCATCCTCCCTTAGCTCTCTTCCCCTGCCCAGCGGTTTGCCAAGAGGTTCAAAGGCGGAGGCAGAGGAAGAGAAGGAGGGAGCGAAGAGGAAGGGCCGGTTGGCGGATTTCCTACAAGGGGCACCAACGACGCCGTCAAGGCGACCACTCTGGCGCGGCCCCATACCCTCTTCGCCCCCCATCGGCCCACAGCACCCCACACTCTCCATTTCGGCTTCGCTGTTTGAAGTAAGGCAAGGAGGAAAATAAACCCGCAGCCTCCTGGGCAGCCCTTACCTCAGGCTGCCCTCGCGGAAGCCGCCCTCCTCCTGGCCGGGCCACCGCTGGTGCACCGCCGCGGCCCCGCCCGGCTCAGCTCGTCCGTGCAGTGCGCTCCCCGGGGCACCGGAGCCGGCGGGGGACGTTCGCGCGCCGCTCGCGTGCAGCCCAGCGGGCGACTAGGAGCCCGCAGCCACCGAGGCGGGGCCGGGAGCCCCGGAAAGGGGCGCACGAGCCGGGGGCGGCTGCAGAGCGCGCGCGCGGACCCGCCAGCCACCCGGCGTGGAACACCCCGGCCGGGGCGGTGCAGACGGCCGCGAAGCGCCCAAGCTTCCGTCTCCTCCTCTGCCCCCCAAACCCCCTCTCTGTACCCCACTAACACACACCCCCCTCCAGGAGACAGCTTGCCGGTGGCACTTGTTCTGCCGCGCTGCGCTCTTCCGCCCGGTGCGGGGAATAACAATGTGATCGCATTGCACGGACTAGATGCTAGTAGTAGGTTGTAACTGCTGAGGCCACCACCTGTCAATTCTAGGAGCAAGACGCAAGGTCCCCAGCGGGCTGGCCTTTCCCCGATTCCCTACCCGCTTCTTTTCCTCCCTCACCTACCTCGCCGACCTCCCGCAGTACTCTGCTGCACGATACTAAGGGAGTTTTGCAAAATAACCCTCACTCCCAGCCAGGAGCTCACGGCATCTCCCTTCCCACCAGAGCTGAAGGATTACGCACAGCCCTGCGTGCCTATCCAAAGCCGGATGCCGAAGATCCCGGTTTGAACCCCACACTCGCCGGCCCCCCCGCCCCCATTCATAATCCCAGCGGCCGTCTGCCACTACACACCCTCCCCCTGCCGCCCGCACTCGCTGCGATTCGCCGTCCCTGGAACGTGTCAGTCACTCTCTCTTCATCTGCCATGAATACAGTACTAGAAGCTCCGCAGCCACGGGTTGCACAAAAGGGGTCGGGGAGCGGAGCACTCGGAGCTTGCGGCGGGGGGGCGGGGGGGGGAGTCGCGGGGGAGGCAAGAGAGCAAGCGGGGCAAATTACATGGAAGGAGCCGGTGTGAGGGTGAGAACCCGCTGCTCTCCTGTTGCACAAAGGAGCTCCAGAGTGGATAAACACGGCGCTACTGAACCAGTGGGGCAGCTCACCTCCAAGAAGGCGCTCTGCCAAGGCACCCTAGGAGTGGGCCCCACAACTTGGGCACTTGTAATGACCTAGCAACAGGCACCCGGGAGCTTGACTACCCCAGCTTGACACAGCACAGTGGGGTGGGGGTCTGCCCCTCGGGGGGAGGGAGGGGGGTAGGGGGAGCCAGATGTGGGAAAACACAGGTTTCCTTTTCCCCAGTTGTCCAGCTCTTTCAGTCAGAGAAAAAAAGAACTTTGGCGAGGAAAAGAGACAGAGATGCAGTAACTTTGCGTATGGAACTATTACAACTAGCTAGAAATCAGGAAGACTTTAATGGATAAAATTGGCCTATTTCCCAATTTATTCCAATAAACATTATGGCACACCCATTTTGCACGGAGCGCAATACACTGTGCCAGATGCTGGCATACAGACATGATCAGAGCCACAGTCTCTGCACCCAGGAAGCTCACCGCCTAGCGGGAGAAACTACTATGAAAGCCCAAAACGGACAAAACAAGTACACGGAAGCACATACCAATTACACTAGGGGAAGCAATTTTCTCTAGTTGGAATGGAAATGGGTCAGGGGCTTTGATCCCTTCTGAACTGTATAAGAAAAGGCAAATAGGAGCTTGCCAAAGAAGTGACAGTAACCTTCTGTTATTCACCCATTAACCCAACCAGCTTCACATACCCACACAATGAACATCATACCTGAAAGCTTATCAATGTAGGGACTTAATGAACTCCTGCCCTGCACTGTTTCCCCTTGGTGGTTTTGGAGGAAACATTTTCAAATACCAGCGCTTGGAGTATAGAACACCAGTTCTCCAAAGCTGAAATGTTGCCTTCTTGGACCTGTTACTTTATGTTCTGTATCATCTACTTATCTGTTAGCTTGAAACTGAGCCCAAAGCTAAAATTAATAATAGTGAGGCAATGAGCATCTGGAAGGAAGCCCATAAATCCTGCAATGCAGTCATGGTTCTGTCACAGTCTTTGTCTCAAAAGCGGTGACAATATAATCTCTTTTTCCTGAACTACAGTGAGGATTAATTAGTCAGACTTATTAAACAGAAAAAGACCATTGCCCGAATAGAGTGTGGGATGGGAACCTAAATTGTGATTCAACCTAGGAAAAAAAAGAATCAGTTTGAGTGGCATGCTCCCCTGTGAATATTAGAACTTTGAAAGGTATTAGTGATTACTAAAGTACCCAAGGTTACTACATCATCTTCAGAAAAACATGTCAAAGGGTTCTGGTTGCAAATAAGAATTAAATGGACTCCTGTATGAAGATGATGTCATCTGTTTAAACATGCTTCCCAATTCTCCCTAGAAAATATATAAACTAACAAAGAGAATGGGAAAAAAATGTTAAATGCCACTTTCAGCAAACTTATACAGATTTTACTGACAAACTCCAAACTACTTGTAAAGGTTGTTAAAGCAGCTGCATTTGGGCAGAAGTCATATGGAAAAGGCCAAGAAGAGTCAAAGAGAACCAGCAGTAACGACTTCAGAAAGTACCAGAAAAAATATGTTTCCTGAAAGTAAGGGGCTTACCTTAAACTGCAAAAGTAGCTACATCTCTCAAAGAAATGGAGCAAGAGCAGAACAGGTAAGGCAGAAGAGTCACAGGGATAGGGAGAAGAGGCACAGAGAGTTTCCAGGGAACCCACTAGCATCAGATCAAAGGGGCAGCAAAACTATGATCCTTAAGGTCAAGGTGATCACTATGAGATGTAGAAGACCTATTCCTTGTCTTTAAGAACCGGGGAGCACAGGACTGTTGGCAGACGATCCCCTGAACCAAATTTACTTTAGAGACTTAGAGGGAATGAGTCTACAGAAAAGCCATAATTATTGGAAGCAGACTGTTTCTGAGGCAGCAATAAAAGTGAATCTGCAATCTTTATTGCCACATGACAAACCACCCAAAGCAATGGCTTAAGAGCTACCAATTATTTGCCTACAATTGAATGAAGTCACAAATTGGGATGGGCTCAACTGGGTTGGCTGACTTCTGCTTCATGTGTTATCTCACTCAGCAGGTCTCACTCATGTATTTGGGCCTCAGAAGGGAGGCTTGGCATGTATTTCCAGGCAGCTAGCTCAGGCTTTTCATGTGGAGTTGGAATAGTTCCAAGTAGCAAGAGAGAGGGCAGGCTCCAATATTCACACTCCTTTGAAGTTTCTGCCCATATCATGTTTGCTAATGTCCCATTGGTTAGAGTAAGTCATATAGCTGAGACTAGAGTCAATGTGGGGAGGTGCTACATAAGAGCATGGGTGTGGGGAAGTGTCAAATGTTGGGTCATTAATATAACAATCTGCCACAGAAAGTAAGCTTTTTAATTGAGAGAACAGGAAAACTACCTTGAATCCTCCATTTCAGGAGCTTTCTACAAAGACCAGCCAAAAATATACAATTCATTCTGGAGTGAGTAGTGATAAAGAAGAAACTGGCAGAGAAAGGATATGAAGATACTATAAGAAAGATTCTGGAAAGGAGCATCAACATCACCAAAAGATGTGGGGAAAAAAATTTGCCACAGAGCCAGTGAAAATTGTGACTATACATAGTGTTTCTCCAGCATCTGTGCTCTTATTCATTAAGCTATACTGACTCCCTAATGAAATATATTCCGCATTATGTTAATGAAACAATATAATCTATTATGCAATGTGACAAAGCACAAATGAAAAAACTCAAGAAAGAGATGAGGATGAAGTGAGCTGATATAAATCAGATATGAAGAAGAAAAAAGGACCAAACCAGAAACAGAAATGAGGACAATATTGGAAGAAACACAGAAGGGAATAAGCACTGTGGATGAGTAAGAGACAGCAAAGACATATATAAGAATAATGGTCAAAATTAAGTGAAAATAAAGAGAAGTATATTTTTAAGCATTGTGTAAAAATGGTAACAATAGATGAAATACGATGCAGAGCCAACATACATATAATTGCAGTCTCTGCAGAAGAAAACCTTAGCAGTGGGACAGAGCAAATACTTTCTAACAAAATTATAAAAGAACTTTCCTGAAATTAAAACAAAAGTCTTGAATCTCCATATTGAAAGGAAACACCATGTACTAAAGAAAGTTGATTCATAATGGTTAAGCAAAGACATATGCTAACAAATTATTGAAATTTATTTATTTTGTTTTATTTTAAATTCAATTAATTAGTATATAATGTATTATTAGTTTCAGAGGTAGAGGTCACTGATTCATCAGTCTTATATAATACCCAATGCTCATTACATCATCCGCCCTCCTTAATGTCCATCACCCAGTTACCCCAACCCCCCACCCACCTCCCCTTCTACAACCCTCAGTTTGTTTTCTATGATTAAGAGTCTCTTATAGTTTGTCTCCCTCTCTGATTTTGTCTTGTTTTATTTTTCTTCTCTAAAAAAAGAATCTTTGAAGCGAAAAGCAAAAGATCAAGTCTTGTATAAGGAAAAAATAAGTCAACCTCACTTCAGTCTTCTCCGAAGCAAAGTCAATGGAAAAAAACATGAGCTTCTCAAGGCAAGAAAGTATGATCTAAGTATTTTATATCTAGCCAAGTTGTTTATCAAGTATAAAGACCATGTGTTTAAAACATTAAAAATCAAAGACTATTCTTTCTTTCTGAGGAATCTTAAATGGGAGGAAGCTTTCTTAAAAAGATTCATGGTGAACAACGAATATACTTGTATTCTAAAATTTAGACCATTAAAAATGTATGAATGTTATAGACTTTGAAAGTGTAGGGCTGACATAAGTCACAAATATTCAGAAGGAAAAGGAAAAAGATCGTGGTAATCAGAACAAATCCACTGATTGACTTATCTATAACTGCTGAGGTTAAAAATGTCATTTAAAGCTGACATACAAGTAGTACACTAAATGTGCATAACAGTGCAAAGATAAACAGTAGGAATTTAATGTTTTAAACAAAATATGATAGCGCAGAGTCAGGAAAAGAAGAAGGTG